GCTCTGGAGGGTGTCGTCGGGGGGTGCTGGGGTGGCCCCTCGCTGCCGTTTTGGCCGCTGCGGTTCTGCTCCTCGGGGCTGGCAGCTGGCGGGGGGAAGAGAAAGCCCCGGTCCCTCCGGTAAGGCGAAGCGTTGAGGTCTGGCAGGAGCCGCCGTTGCGTTTTCCCGAGGCGGGAGCGGGGTCACAGCGCTTGCTGGGAGCAGCACGGAGTTGGTTTGCTCGTGGTAGCGGTGGGGACGGTTAGTGTTTGATCACGGTAGCCCATGGTAACTGTTAGTATTGGCAGCTCTTTGCCATTAATAACGACGGTGACACCGCGATGGAGGGCGCAGCAGGCCCCGGTGGAACACCTCGTTCTTTAGCGTGGGTCAGTTTTCGGGGGGAAGCGGGGCTCGGTGCCTGCGCCGACAGCGGGCTGGTAAGGTGGCCACCACCTGACTGCTGGTCCAGCTGGCTCCATGCCCCGTGTGTCAGAGACCTCCAGGCAGTGACCCAGGGACCCCCGGAGGGATCTCAGGTACACGTGGCTGAAAAGCAGAAACTCAGAAGAAGTGGGTAGCAGAGCGCTGCTGGCGTTTGAGTTGATGCCGTAACTTGGTGCAGGAAATTTTGCACCATCCAGATGTGGAGAGGATTCACAGATGGATAAACTCTTTCTCATTTCTGCGGCACATAATTGGCCATGGAGTGATTTTTCGGTTTAATTCCAATAATGGCAGTGAAGGCTGGGAAAGAGCGTGGAAGACAACATGTAGCAATATTTCTTCACATACATTTTCAGCCTGCAAAAACTTGTACAACATTTTATGCTGGAGTTGTTGTCTTCAGCTTTTGTAAAGCCCAGTGTCTTTTTTCCCCCTCACCTTTATTCATCTAGTCATTTTTTTAAACTTGTCTAAGTTATTAGCATCTAGAGTCCTAAATTGACATTAGAAGTTAGGAATCTTTTTGTTTGCAGTTACTGTGGAGTAGTATCAGATTCTAAAGTTTCTCTTTAGAAACTGCCAAGTTTCTTCCAGTTCATTGATAGCCATCAGCTGCCCTTCGCGAGTGAGCCTCGATAGCAAGAGACGTTATTGAATGTGGCCGGCATGGCTACCTGCATCTGCTGAGCATTTGTACTGCGCTCCCGAGACCTCCGAGTCATCCCTTGCTGTGAATTCAGCAGGAATACAGTTAGTTGTCTGCTGCCTGCCCTTCGCATGGGTTGCTCCCAAACCATAACGTGAATCTGGAGTATCTTTTCAGGAGATGGGAAGCGTATGCCTACATTGCAAATGAAGCTGTAGTCCTAAAATGATAGGCTTGCCCTTTGCTGATTAGCTAAAAGTCTGTTTATCCTTTTGCGTTCACTGCTGTGGAAAAAATAGTTCCTTTTATGGACTAGAAATACCTAGTCCTTTCTGCTCTCCATTTTGCCATGGTGTCACTACAGCTAGGATGTGTGACTCTTGCAGCTAGCAGAAGCGTGCTTATTCGTGCTGAAATTTCAGGTTTTGATGCCCATGTAAACTGTTTGTGTATACTTCACGTACTTTACATATTTTTATGTAATGTATGTAATTTTATGTAATTCTTCACATACTTTACATCAAGTAATATTTTATCAGTGCCGTTCAGTATCAAATTCATCAAATTTAAGCTAGTGGCTTTCTGCGGTGACTTTAACAGAAGTTAAAATAGTGTAAATTTTTTTCCCCTTAGCACTCTTTCAGCTTCACCTCCTTACATTTTTCTGCTTTCCAGCTTGCCTCTATACAACTTCAGTAGGAGTTACCTCAGCTATCCAAAGAACTTTCAGCAAATGAATATCTTTTAACGTGGTATCACGATATTGTCTTCTACTCAAGTAATTCCCTAAGAAAACTAAACATTTTTTGCTGCAATGTGTAGAAATAACCAGGATAGGTTCGTTCTAGATTAACTCCTGCACCCAATAAAATATGGAGAGTCGAATATTTTCTCAACTCTCTTTCATCTCTTCTCAGGCAGTTTCCACTATATCCATGGGTCCATTTGTATCACCATTCAGTTCTTCTAGTAAGAAGTGTTGGCAGTATCTGTCTTTTAAAAGAATTCTTTATGCTAAATCTATAAACATTCTGCACTAGTGTTAATGTGACTGGTGGGACTGCAGTCTTATTAAGAAGTACAACCATTATGCTGGCAGAGGACAAAGGTAAGGTCTTTTGGGTTAGATATATATCACACTAAATTGCGTATTAGGCCTCTGAATAGTTGTGGTTATGAAGAGGGAACATTACTGTTTGTTTCTCTTCCTCAGTCCCTTTTACCAAGAAATAAATGATAGAAGAGAGAAGAAGAAAGAGAAACATTTCATAATTTCCTGTAGTGTTAAGGGCTGTTTGCAGTGCTTGCAAGCTAAAAAAATAATCTGATTGTGTATATATATATGTGCATGAAATAATTCTAATAGATTACAATGATATGCTATGGAAATTATAGAAAGGAAATAGAAGATAATGTTACAGCTGTTCTTCTGTAAGAAGTATTATGACAGAAGGACTAAAACTCATCAATCTTGGACAAGATAAAGAGATTGTGCAGTAATCAGATGATTACTGAATTGTTGCTAGTGTCTAAATGTTACCAGTGCTTTCTTTTCAAATTCTGGGTGTGTGGTGTCTAGCATAGATTGAAATTAGGAAGCAAAAAATGTGTTTCTTGCCTTTAAGCCTACAAAAATTCCTTAACTTTTTTTGCTAGAGAATTTCTTTAACCTTGTAGAATGATTACAGCTTTGAAAAGTTTTAAATTCAATTTTATGCATAGAGTTCCTGGCTTTCTAATCCTTAGGGAATGGTCTGTAAATATTTTGAAAATAAAATGGAGGAGAAAACATAGTTCTATGGCTTGTGTATTTCACATGGCACTAAGACAGTCTGAAAGCCGTTTTCATGCGTGAGTATTACTAATGTTAGTAGGGGCTCCATTTTCAAAATCCAGTCTGAACAGACTCTCTGATTTTAACAGGAAGCTATGAAGTATCTTCAACATCTAACCCACTTCAGCTGCTTTAACTTGGTGGTGATTAATACAGCTTTTGCCTGTTTCTTTTCTTTTTTCCTTTTTTTTCTTTTGTATTTGCAGTTTTGCCAAGATTTCTTGTATTCACGGGGATACATGCAGGATCTCACTGTGACCACCTTGGTTCTATAGCAGCAGTGTACTAAGTAAGTGTGTGAGTGTGCGTGTATCGGTGTACACAATTACCAGAGAAGCTAAATAACTTGAATTCTAGCCAGCATGGCAAATCGACATACGTGGCAGTCTTCAGTGTGCCACACTAACTGTGCTGATTTGTTTGAAGCATGTTTGCTCTGTGTCCATGCTACTGCTGGCTTGTTTTATTGTAAGACTTTCTTGGAACCCATGTTATATAGTTTGACAAGTTCTTAGTAGATGGGTTCTTGGAAGCTGCCTGAGGCATCGGTATGAATTTGCATCCATATTGTCACCAGAGTGGCTCAAGTGGCAAGTGTTCATGGATTGAAACAAGTCGGATTCAGCTGAATTTCTTGTGGAGCCCTTTAGTTTTTAAAACTGAAGTCTGGGATGCCACAGATGCGGTGTTTGTCAGTGGAGCTTATATATATGTGTCCCACCATCTGAGGCAGTAGCTGGTAGCAATGGCTGTATCACCTGTCCAGAGTGCAGAGATTTGCAAGAGAGTGACCAATACAAACTGAAGAGGGAAGAGAAGTGTTGCGAGCTCACGTGTAGAAGGAGAGCCATCACAGCACAGCACATGATTGTGAAGGTCTCAAACTGTTCCTGGACTCTGAGAGGTGCAGAGGAGGCCCATGACCTTTTTGGCCTCTCTTTCACCTCCTTCAGTTTGGGCCAAACTAACTTTGACCACAGTTCAGACTGAAGGTGTTTGTCCCCTGTATGACAACACTTGTTACCGAGCGAACAGTAGCTGTGACACAGTAAGCACAGCCTCAGAATACAGAGTGTTTTAAGCTAAAAACAATGGTGATTCTTTCAGCTCAATATGAGCCAAGAAAGATCAGTTTCACCAGACAGAAAATAAGAAAATAAAAATTATCTTCTCAAGGCTGAAGAAAGAATTTACAAACAATTACAGGTAAAAAAGGATAAACTCAGTAAAAGTTGACTTAACAACATCATTTTAAATTGTTAAAAATGCTAAGGCAGTAATTAAGGTTTTTCTGCTGAGTATCTGTTTAATTTCCAAAGTATGTCTTGACAAGAGCAATTACATACTTGGTAAGTGAATGGCTAACACAGTAGTCTGTAATTCTGGGTAATTTTGAAGGGTGCTGAAACCTCTCTGGGTTATTCATGTACTAACATACAGTTGGATAATAGTATTCAAGAGAATATTAATATGTCTAACACTGAAAGCTAGAAGATGCTATTAGTTAGGTTGCTGGAGCCAAGATCAATTTCTGAATGTTTTGGATGATACTGGACAGATTTACTGGGAAGCTAAATTCACATGAAGTTAAAATATGAAAAGCAAGCAAAATCTGTTAGTGGAAGAAAACAATTCCTAATCAAACCCATTGATACAGGAAAAGGAAATTCATGAAAGCAAATAATGGCCTGGAATGATTTGAAAGCTACTCTGTCTTCTAACTTGATCTTGAGCCTGAAACATCTTTCTGTCCATGGAGGTGATTGAAGTAAAACATCTAATTCTTTGCAGCAGCACATCAGTGACGTATGATTTTGACTGTATGGTAATAATGCTGCTCAGTCAGAAGAGAGGGATTCTGGTGATATGCAGAGATGCTGAAACTAAGCCTGTCTCTGAGTCCTGTGTAGACTGTACTTTCAACATTCCCCTACTATCAGTCTATAGTTCTTCCAAAGGAAAACAATGACCAGAAGTAACAGGTTTGGTGAACGTTACCAGATGCTAACCTACAAAGCTTAGATTCAAACTGTGCTGTGTTCTGCTTGACTTTTCATCTGACTGATAAGAGAAAACACGAAAAATGATGCTGTAATAGCTATCAGCGATGTCATGACATATTACACAAAAAGTCTTTATTCTGAGGCATGCAGGAGGCATTTTATGTTTTGAAAGGAGATAACGGAGGAAAACCACCGCAAGAATGTGCAGGTGCCTTCAGTCTGCAACTATGTGATAAAGTATTGGTTTAACAATAAGGAATGGGATATGTCTTTTAGCAGCAAAGTTATTTTCAGGCCAAGGTCAGAGCTGGCTGTTGTAGCTGCTAATTATTTTTTGTTGTTTTGCTAGAAGCTGCAGTAAAAGGACCTTGCTTGGCATGCTGAGCAAAGCGAGAAAAAAATTATCTAAGTCATAGGGGGCTCCAAAGCAAGCAGGAGCACTTGAGTGAGAAATGTCTAAGTCTAATAGTTAAAACCAATAGGTCTGGGAAGTCCGGTTATTTCCACTCTGAGATCACTGAAACAGGCTGGCTTGGCCAGTTGTATTTTTTCCATGCCTCTGCTCTTGGTGGCGATTTTACAATTTCTGCCCAGGTATTTGCATAAGAGCTGGGAGCAAACAGTGTGTTCTCTGTGTGTTAACCAAGGAGTGCTTGGTGGTAGGCTGACACAGTTTTATTTGATGAGACAGAACTTCACAGGCAACACCGGTTTAAGGAATTTTCCCTTTCTGACTCACCTCCATGCAGCCATTCTCAGCTGCAGTGAGGCAGCTGTTCACAAGGTTACACAGTAAACCAAACCAAGGAATTGATGTAGCTTTACTTCAGCTCTCCTTTGGTTTTCTTTTTTTCCGTAACAGTTTTGAGAGAACAGTGCAGCCGTAGAGACTACTGACAGCAAGAGCAAGTGTCTGGCATATAAGGGCAGGAACTACACAAGCCTGAAGTGTTTCCATGTGCTTCAAACCACAAGCTGAGAATGTAGTCCTTTTTCTCTTGGGCAGGGGAAGGTTTTGTACCATCTGTTTGAATTTTTGTCTCTTTCAGCAAAAAAGAAACTAGTAATTTTTCTGATGCTGAAACTGCTCTAGAAGGCTAAAAAATCAACTCCAGTACATTTTGTAAAAGGACAATTATTGTCATTGTTAAACACTATGGAATCTCTGTTCTGTATGTCAGTGAATGTTTTATTTGTATCTTAAAAGAGGCTTCCTAAAAGCACAAAGTTTGAGCTACCTTTCATTGCTTATTTGACTTACCCATTAGGATTTGGTGCAGTACGTTCATTAGCAACCTGAGTGCATGTAGTGCTCTTTGTAGAGGTGATTGAACAAATGTTAGCAAATACATAAAAAAAAAAAAAAAAAAAAAAAAAAAAGGAAATGAAGCCTAGAAATTGACCACATCACCTGAGACGTGTTTAGTATGCTTGAAAGAGCAGAGTGAAGTATTGGCAGTGGTTTCCTGGCACATTTGTTCTACAGGAAGTTAGATTTGCAAATGCCATTTAAAAAACTTAATCAAGTGTACATGGTGTCTGTGGATAATAAGATGTGGTGAAAAGCATGGATTCTTACTGCTCTGTGACGTTGCTTTAAGACATCCAAGTGCAGTGTATCCCCTCTCTTTGCTGTCTTTGGAGGTGGTGGCCCTCTCCTGCCACAGAGAAACAGAAACCAGGGGATTGGTACTTCTCAAGTGCGATCTCTATCTGCTCAGAGCCTATAAATGATAAAGGGCATCGTGCCAAGCATCCTTCACTGTGTTCCAGAGCTGTAGATGGTGGAACGATCTGTTAGGTCTCATTGTGATCCAGTAGAGCTGTGGCCTTACCCCAGGAGGGCAGTATACCGGACCCTACAGCTCTGTTAGGTGCCTACTCTGCATTACTGGGGTAATGGAGTATTGTCTCCCAAAAGCCAGACAGTGTTTGCTTACTATGAGTAAGTGTTTCCTCTGCCCCCCTCCCTGGGGAGTCCTTGCGAGGTATTTGCTCAGTACTGCGGCCAAGTTGTCTCCTCTGCGCTATTGTCACATCGTGTGCTGTGGCCTGGTCATCCTATTTTGTGGTGAGATGTAAAGTATATAGCAGCCAGAAATTGCTACTTTCTGTACACAGAAATCAAACTCTAAAATTGCTGTGATTTTTCTTTCACCCACCTGTGACCTTCCTCTTTTTTGCATAACTCAGATTCTTAAGGGATCATCACAGCTGAAGCAACTCCCTGCACTGCGATGCTGGTAATTTGATGAATGTAATGGTGAATACAGATGTGTCTGGTCAAAGCTAGGTGACTGCAGCTTTCAAAGCAAAAGCAGATTTGGCTGCTGTTCTTGCAACAATAGCAGCAGCTGCAAAACTTAGGGCTTTCTCTCCTGTTCACAGCTACCCTTAAGGAAAATGGCAATGTGAGGATGACAAGATTGAGAAACTGCTTCGAGGGGGAATTTTCTTAGAGTGTTTTTGGTGATTTGTTGGGGTTTTTTTAAGAAAAATGCCATCAGTGAGTTCAAGAAATAAGTACTGACTGTTGGGAGAGAAGTATGCTGTTAACCTGAGATGACCAGCAGCAGCTGCTGAACTACAGAACGACTTGGCATACTTCCCTGCAAGTCTGTAATCACGCTCTGGGAAGGCCACTTTGAGAGCTCTTTTATCTGTTTGGGAAGAACACAGTCCCCAGTTGCTGCTTGTCACCTGCTGGCTAATTGAGCCTTTTGTCAATTGCTTGAGTGAAGCTTCCTAGCAGACACAGGAATGCTGTCCCACCCTGTTTGAGAGGCCAGCCAGTCTCCAGGCAGTCACTGAAAGCTGTCAGATGCAATAGTGCCACTGGGGAATCTCATCTAGTCTCATTTTCCCCCCTCATTTGTCGCCCTTCACTTCTCTGGCACCTTGCCAAGCATCAGGTGCTTGCACTTAGGAAAGGTGGTTCTTCTGTGTGCTAAGGCTCAGTCTGATCCAGCAGACGAGTTGTGGTGATGCCATTTGGTCTGGAAATTGTCAAGACATTAGCATTTTTGGGAATTCTCACCATTTTTTTCCTGATAAAAACTATGATCTGCCTGCACAGCTAACAACATGGGCTTTAGTGATGTAAACAAGTCCTCCTCTTATTTGGGGAGACCTTGCTCGCTCAAGGCTCTGTTGCCATGGCTAACAAAACCTTTGCTGGAGTTGACAGGTACAAACTTTTAAACTGCTGTCTGCGCGACTGCCAGATGTCAGTATGATGTTCTCTGGGGCAGGGAGAGATGTGGCAGGTGTTAACTGAAGATTTGAA